TTATTCTAAGGAACCCAAGGCAGCTTAGAGAACCTTCCCCTCGTAAGATTTGTCCTCATATCAACCCTGTGATGCAGCTTAGGCTGAGAGTCAGTGACTGACCCAAGGTGGCTAAGTGGGGACTCGAACCTAGGTCTCCCAAGTCCCAGTCCACCACCCAACACTGGCTGTCAACCATGCCTAGAATATGGAGAGTTAAGCAGTTCTACTTGAACGAAGTATACTTCATTTCTGTAAATCACTGAACCCCACCGCACCCATGCAAACTTTAAGACATTTCCAAGAACTCCCAAGTGTGGTGGTCTGTTGTTAAAACAGGGGTGAGGTGTATCCCTTGGACACACCTTGCGTAGCTCTTTGGATGCTAGCTCTTAGATTTATACTCAGAAAGTATACTTATCATGGATCAGGGAAACTGGCTCTTGCTTATCAGACTACCATAAAACGATCTACTACACATGGAGAATCGCTACAGAACTCAACAGTTTACTGCTTCATTCTTTCTCCTCACCTGTGCACAGGTTTGTAAGTGCAGGAAGCAACTACAGCATAATATGGAGAGGAGATTTTCTGACCAGTGGGAACATCTTGTGAGTGGGGTTCCACTCACAGGCACTTCAGATTCAAGTCCATATGCTTAAATGAATAACATGACACTTTTTTTTTTTAAAGAAGCAGTATAATTCAGTTTAAGATTCTTTTAAATGCTGCCTATAATTCTTGAAATTAAGTCAAACATTTAAAAGAAGACAAACAACAACTCCACACAAAAACCAAATTCAACTCTCCTGTAACAAATTGTGACAGAGTTGTTGCCAAGAAACATTTTAGAAGTCAAGTTAACACTGACAGTAACACTGAAAAGTGCACCGTGGAAGATAATCAATGGCATGAGAGTGCTGAAGTAATTTTGCAAGTGTGCATGCTGTTGCTGTTGTTTTAAACGTTTGCTAAGAGTATAGACAAGTATCTAAAAAGAATTTAACTTTTGATCACATATCCTTCTGAAAAAGTGTTGGCTGCACTATTAGGTAGTGTGAAGGCCAAAAGAAATCTTATATCTGTGCTGAGCAACAATGAGATTTTTTTCCCTTTAGGGTATGTGCAAGACCTCTGGTTTTCTAAAGACCTGGATGGAAGCCTGCGCCTACTTTAGAGCAAATATGAAAAAGGTGTAGATGCTAGAGGTTTAAACTAATCTGTTCCAGCTCTGATGCAACTGTCCCAAGCTCTTGATGCTTCAGAGAACAGAACAGTGCCTGGGACAAGATGGATGTTGCCCTGACACTGTGATGAAGAAAGATCCTAGTCGCCTTTTGTATGTGGAATGGGGAAAGAGGACATTGTCTTCTGACATATTGTAGGACACAAGCAAAACACAATGCCATTACTTTTTAATACTTTATAAGCAGGGAGAATGGATTTCAGAGCCTAAAGGCAATGACTTATTTAGTCCAAACAAGGGAGTAACTGATTTGGTTTGCAACCTCCTTTGATACAAGGAATGTCAATATTATGTGGTCATCAAAACTTTATAAGAGGATGCAAAAGTTTTATATACAGATGCAGCCTCCTTCCTTCCCTAAATTTCAAAAGCACATTCCCCATAAATGGTCCTTTATCCATCTAGTACTACTGATACACTGCAAGGACTTGACTTGAGGAGAGCTGCATTTGAATCTCTGCTGAATCTCATGTGAATTTGGGGAAGAAAAAAACTCAGTTTTTTCTCTGCCTGAAAAATATCCGAAGACTGTTTTGAATAGAAAATATGCTGCCCTGTGATCCTTGGAGGAAGGGAAGGATACAAAACCATTATATAAATACAGGTTTATAATCCTGTCTGAACCTGCAGTGATGGGTGAGCTATTATGCAGTTCTTGTCTGGAAAATGGGGGGATGTCCTGGTTGTATGGCCAGACATGCACAGAGGAACCAATGCCAGGTGAAGACAGGAAATGTTTCACCTACACATCATCAAAATATCCCAAAATACCAGAGATCTTGTTTCACCTGAGACTGAAAGAGGTACCACAAGCACATTTCAAGTTGGGGGAATCAATAAAACGCTACAAGAAGCAGTGGTCTTTTCGAACAAAGGTCGCCACAAACATTGGGATATCCATCCAAACCCACTAGATGTCACTATAACCTCAGCGGAATCACCCATCAAATTGGACAACTTGATTTATTGTACCTGCCTTTCTTTTTAACAGAAAGGCAGCCCTACTCTAAACAAATAATGTCGACTCTGTGTTTGAAACTGGCCCGTCAATACAGGGATCCACCATGTCAGCATGGTCTTGGCCAAACCCTTGGTCTCGGTGGGTTCCAGTCAGAGAAAACCGCACTAATTCACCAAAGAGCTGACTTATTCCAGAGGAATCAGTTTTCCAAGGACTCTTGGTGAGACACCCTCAAAGACATCCTTGCCCTGTCATGGATCCCTTGCCCTCTCTTCTCATTGCCATGGTCGCCAACAGCGATTACTCCTCGGCCTCTTTCCCATCATGGCTGCCCCTCACATCCTGGCTAGGCAGACCCAGTGAGCAGATAGCAGAGGCATCGGCTCCGCCTCCTCCTCGCCGCTACGTCCCCAGGATGGTGTGAGAGGCAGGATGTGATGGCAGAGAGGTGGAGCCACACTGGGGATCAGTTTTCAATGGGCCCTGCTGGTGTGTGGGCTCTTGCCAAGTTCCTGACCATGCTTACCTGCATGCTGAGCTGCACAAAGGGGAGACTGCACAGTTGTACAGATACGGGGCTTTGGGTGTGCAGCGTCTTCGTGGTCACGATGCTCCTTATGGCCCACGGCCACTGATTTAACTGCATTCTGGCCAGCAGGTTAGCACCCTCCAGGCACTGACTGCAGAAGGGCAACTCCAAATTCCTGGAGGGGAACTGTGCTGCTGGCACACTCTCTGCACTGACATGGAGATCTGGACTGGCAAAACCCGCCATGGGCACCTGCTTGTGCAGAGGCTCAGGACTCACGAGGGTTGGGGATGCATGGGGCCGGCCGTGCAGCCCTACTTCCCATTAACAGCACAGAGAGCCCTTCAGGCAATCCATGTGTGAAGCAGGCTGAATAATTTGCCCCAAGTACAAATGGATCTGGCTTGCTCATTTTATTTGTATATCGATCACAGTTCTAATCTGCCCGATAACTTCCTTAGTGTAGGTGAGCAGTGGCATAGCAAATTGCAGCTCATGCTTGCTGTGAGCATTGCAGAGGACCCATCTGCCACCTACATGGCTGGCCCAGGTGGAAAGAGAGCAGGTAGCCTTCTAGTGGAAGGTCGACTGAGTGGTCAGAAGCAGGTGGAGAACAGGAAGTGCAGGTAGTGCAGATTCCCTGTTCATTACACTTCATCAAAATGTATGACGTTCAAGCGTACATCTCCCATTGTGAGGAGTATAGGGTACAGGAAGCACAAATCAACTGCATTTCCTTTTCTCCCTACACTGTTTAATACCTGAGGCACCATCTCACGCATCTCTATTCACACATCATTCCACTGAACATCGTAGGATTGCTGGTTCCCAAATCTCAACACAATTAAACATATGAAAACCACACTTGGTGTTGATGACACCATGACCTTCTTCCTTATTTAAAACATGTAGCTTGATCCTGAGTATTATGTATGACTGAATTTTGACTATAGGGTATTGTCAGATTCTGCTTCCCCGACAGATTCTATAGGAGCCATTCTATTCTGTTTTTCAGAGATGCGGAAGTAGTGTTCAGTTTGAATGGATGTTTCAGTAAATTGGCAGGCCCTTTTGGATGTCAGATTCTTAATGCTACCAAAGTCCTATTCAGGGGTTCTAAAGCTGTGTTTGGTAAATACGTAAGGAAGGAGAGTGTATGTTTGGCAATATTCACTAAACACCGTTTTAGAAGGCCTGAGTGGGCCTAGACAAGAAATCCTCTCCGGGTTGAAGAAGAGTGAACTCCAGCTTCAGTATATCATTTGCATGACAAACCACAATCAGTATCACGAAGGGGTGTGTATGTGAACAACTGCTTCACAATTACAGAATTCCCTCAGAATTATTGCAGGGATTCTGAAGTGCAAACCTTTTCTGGAAATGTGAGAGAATTGGTTTGGCTCTACGTCACTGGGGCAAATTCATAAGCAGGGTATTTTCCCCTGGAATTTTAACATAGCAGGACTCTAGGTTTCATGTTTGTGTGTATTGTGTGTCTTTCCCGCAATACGGCTATAATTTGCTCTAATCTGTCATCCTGTGAAGGGAACAGAATTCTAAGTATCATCTTGTGTAAAAGTTCCAGGCTTCTGTTTTCCACCTACAAATTAAGCCTTAAGCAAGCATTTTCCTGATATTGACGCACAACAGATCAATGACAGCACAGTAAAAGTGGAGAGAGGTGATGATGATGCAAGGTGCGTCTGAATCCTTTTTTGTGCTCTTTCATTCACAAGCTTTGCCTTGTATCATCTGCCTTTTAGCCGTACCATGAACAGACCAGAGAACTGAGCAGCAGGCTGGCGAGTCCTCTTCTGCGTCTTAGTGAGGAATTATTTAGACTAACTATTGCCCTCGCTTCATCTTAACTCAGCCTTGGAGCCTCTCAGATGCCTGAATTAAATAACCTCGATTTAAAAAGCATTTATGCCAGGCGATCCTTATATCAATGGATGCTCAGTAGACCGACTAGAGACTAGACTTTGAAGCTGCTCATTCAGTCGCCTCAACGCTACTTAACACCACCTGCTGGCCTATATCACAGCACCCACTTTTGTTGTTGTTGTCCCTTCCACAACCCAGCCTACCACCGATTCTGCACATTTGTCAGAGACCTTCAGGGAAAAGGCTCTGCTGTTCAATTAGTAGGTAAAATGAATCACTCAGCAGTGGCAATTTGAGGGCCTGGGAGAAGGCAATGGAGATCAAACAGTGAACCAGACTTTCCTGTTCCATGGCAAGGAAAATAACTTTAAAAAAATCATAGAAAGGCCCCGTGTCCTCACCTCTGGTTGCAAAGCTGGCAGGCAAAACAGTCCAAATGGTAAACATTATCTCTGGCCCTCATCACCATCTCAAAGGCCGGGATCAGCTTACTGCAGGCAGCGCAATTCCCAGTGGTCCCAAAGAGCCTGCCAAGGAAGCACAATCATTAGAAGCCATTTTAATTAAATGGCGGAAGGACTAATTAAGTGTAATTAGCAGTATCAAATACTGTATTGCACCCAATAAAAAGAAAAGTTGCAGTCCCCATTTTGCTGACCAGCCAGTGTGTGGAAATGTGGGCTGAAACAGCGTGGAGGAAAAAAGCCGGTTCCTTCGCTAGGCTTCTGAGTCTCCAGCTAATTGACTGTCTAATGAAGAAATACATTCCACACGCACATGGAGTGCTATTTTGGGGCTCTGAGCATCTCAGTCAAAAACCATCTAATCTTTTTCAATGCAAATTAAGAGTGTCTTAGCAGAACATCTTTACAGGCCTCTCCAGCAGCCCCTCCATTTTCTAACTTGCTGTTCCTTCATCAATTGCTACTAATTAGTCAGCTATCTCGAGATAATGTGCAGAGTACATTTTTGGGAAGATTGAATGTATGTGTGATCCCCGCAAGTCACATTCTACTTAAGTAGCTCACTGAAGAGGAATGGCAGTAGACGCTGAGAGTCTGGCAAGCCACAACAGCAGGGGGAACAGAGCTGACAGGACGCCATACCTTCATGTTTTAGGGCCTTATTTTGGCATTTCCAATCTGGCACCAACTAGGATCCACTGAGGGACCCCAAGGCACTTGCAAGGATCCTACTGACCCGGAGGGCTGAGCCACTGCAGGCTTGGTTTGGTCCCAAGAACCAAACTGGCGCCCAGTTTGGTGCTTTTTTCCGAAATTGTAAATGCAGGTTGACTATTACAGTGCAGAACGGGTCTTATGAAAGCTTCACTGTGGATCAGCACCACAGTTAACCCCATCCTGATTTCATACAACATTGTCTGACAAACATGGAGGCATTCACAGAGCTGTTCTGTTCCTCCACATCCACTTTTCTTGAAGTATTGACTTCAAGTAAACATTGTTCATGAGAAACTGGCCCAGATTATCCATTTGAGAAGAGTCCAACCTGCCCATGGCTAAAACATTAAGGTTCTTAATTGTAATCTGAATGTGGAAATGCATTTTGGCAAAAGGAAATTTGAAATGAATAGCTTCCCGTCTACTCTCTTCTCTCCAAGCCAATGAAAACAGGCCTACCTCTACATCAATTGGTTCCACATCACCCCCCTGGTCTCTGGAGATAGCTTCTACATCCACAAGGATGTTTTGCCAATTCTGCTATCTGCCTCCACAGGCACTGGCTGCTCTCACAGCATGACACACAGAGAAGTACGATCTGCTTTTCTAGGCCCTCCTACAAGTCTTGAAGATCAGTGCTCCATCACCAGCCCCAGGAGGAAACTTCACAAGAACGCTAATAGAAGAGGCAGGGCTCTACTGAAACATACACAACATGGGAAGGATCGTGTCAATGACAGGGCACATGCTTAGTATATAGGTAAAATGATCTCAGATAGCAGGGCTGGGAAAGACCAGCTGGAGAGCCTGGAACACAGCACCAGCTCCAGGCTTTGGAAAGGGCACAACACGCTTGGTTGGACCTTCTCCTCTGTAAGTCTATGTTCTCATTCCATTGATAACAGCTACGGGTGTCTACAGAACTCATGTGGTGTGGAGTGTTGGACTGGGGACCTGGGTGGTCTGGTGTCTAGCTCCCACTTAACCAAGAAGCTCACTGGGTGAGTTGGGGCCAGCCACAGATTCACAGCCCAACTTACCTCACAAGGTTGCTGTTTTGAGGATAAAATGGGAGCTATGTAAATTGCCTTGGCTTCTTCACAGGAGGAAGAAAGGTGGGATATAAATGCTATGCAATGCAGGAGAGCTTTGGCTGTTGGGTGGAAGTTAATCAGTTAAATAGAATAACGCACGCAATGTAACAGTAATAATCCTTATTGCTACCACTTGCTTGTCTGCCCCGCATGCAGCCTCTGAATAAACAGGCAGTGGCATCTACTGCTCTGGCTTTGTACCACCGCCTTTGTCTGGGTCTGAGGGAGAAGAGCTTGGATAATCAGTAAGTCTTGTCAGTAGACCCCCTGCTGGGGTGTGAGACCTTGGAAGGCGCCTGAGCAAACCAACCCCTGGCACCACCCTAAGAATAGGCAATATTGGACTAGATGAACCAGTGGTCAGATTCAATATAAGGCAACTTCATATGTGGTTAAATTATGTTCACTATTATCTTTGCAATACATACATGCAATTAATTACTTTATTTAAAAGACAGTAGGTTGAAGCCGTGCTGTTATTTGAACTCCCATTGAAATCAAAGAGACTTCACTTATTCATGGTTTCAATGGGACCTATAAAACCTACAAACCTACATTAGATCTCATTTCATATGGCACAAATTCCAGAGCAATGTTCTGCTGCCACGTACAACACATGCCAACATCTCATGCTTGGCCACGGCAGGAACCAACACCTTTGTTGCAAACTTTGAAGAGGGGGTTGCTGATTCACGGGTGCAATCTTGACCTTGCGATCAGGCCTTTCCAGGTTGCCGACAGTCAAGTATTGCAGAACAAAGCGTGTCCATGTGTCCCCCTTGATAGGGTGCAGTTCTCCACTTGAAACGCTATTAGAGGACAGTCCTCTATTTGAAGATTTCCAGCCCAAAAAATGAGGACAGACAAGGGAAAGCAAGGGACTTGAAGATGGAGAGCACCTTGAATAGCCAAATGAGCAAGGACAGAGGTCACCTTACTGCAGTCTTCCCTACCTTGGTGAGATGCACTTCTGTTTAAATTATAGTAATTATTTCTGATTGCAGCTACTTGTAGGTCTACCTGTAGACCTCTGCAAATGTAGTGGCCTTTTCCCTCCCCAGCTCTCCACTCTGTTCCTGCCTTTGGGAAAATAAAATGGGACCTGTGGTAAAAAAGGCAGAGAGAGCCTTAAAGACTTTTACATGAAAATAAGCCCCATCGCCATCATCAGTTGAATTTTACAAATAAATATACTTTACGCTTAAGAGATCTTACATAAATACAGCGAATAATGGAAATGGCAGCATGCCTTGATATGCAGAACACTGAATTTGTAGACCTATTACATAGTCCCGTTCTTGGTTCTGACTCCCAGACTGTGGAAATCCTTCTCAAGAGAGTTTGGGTTGGACCCCTTCTTTAGGACCTTCACACAAAATGCTTCCTCCCCTCAATTTCACCTAGCACTTGCTTTGTCTTGAGTCTTTCTTTGCTGCTGCTTAATCATGTCTTATTCTGCTATGTTATCTCCTCAGTTTTTACTTTGTTTTTAATTGCATTTGGTGCTTTTCTGTTTTACACGTAGTCTCTCTGGTGCCTTTGCTAGTGCCAACATATAAGGTACAAACAGATCTGTAAATAAAAATAAAAATTATAGTACTAATGTCAATCTCACTAAGTAAATTTGCAATCTTAATTGTCTTTGTCTTCCCAACAACCTGGGGAGGTAGGTCATTTATATTCTCATTTTACAAAGGGAGAGACAAAAGTAGGACTTGCTTAAGGCCACACAGGAAAACCATGAGTGGTAGTTGAACAGATCTCAATTCAGCTTTTCATCTAGTGTGACACATCCTTGGCTCCTTTGTGACTGAGAACCGACTCTAGTTCACTGAGCCTCAAAAACCATGTTCCATCAGCTCCTGTGTGTAAGAGTGAAAATATGCATCAGAACCTTCTGATGACCTACTTCCACATGCTCTCGCCATGCAGTGACTGAAAAAGTTACCACAGGGTCACAGGAAAAAGGTTGCCTAAATTCATCTTCTGCTTGAAACCAGTTTCCTGAGCAGCTTGTTCTGGGGAAAACAGTGAGTCTATTTCAAGCCCTTCTTTCTATCCCAAAGTTAAGAGCATGTTTTAAGTCTTTGAAGACCCAGATTACAACTTTTTCATTGTTCAGAGTTAAGTTACAATCACTGAACAATCTCACTTGCACCTTAAATAGAGAAAAGCCAAACTGGGGGAAGCATTTATAAAGCCCCCTGCCTTCTGCAAAAGGGGCATCTCTATTATGGTAGTTGTTTGGGGGCGGGGGCACACAAATGGACAAGATTGTTTGCCTTCTCTCAAATGGGAAGGGTGGTAAGCTCTGAAGATACCACCTTACACTGCTGTTCTGCTACAGGCAGCCATTTCAAAGGAGGCATTCTTCAGTGTGCCCCACAACATGAGACCTCTCCCTCTCATTCCCAAGCATCTACCAAGAAAAAGGGAGACACGATCTGAGAGGCTACAAATTGTGGATTGTCTCCTTTAAAGCTCCATTGCCCACTTTAAAGGAAGCAACTGTGACTGCCATCCCTCCCCGCTTTTGGGTAAAACTGCTTTGTCATGAGAATGGGCATGATTTCCAGGCAAGATGGAGGTTCTCTGGAGAGATGGTTCACCGAGCCATGCTGCTGAGGGTTGATCTGTCCTGGACAGAGCTGCCCTTTCCTAAAAAGAATCAGGTCCACAGTCTGCACATCCAACTGACTGATGACTGTACAAGTGGAGTTCAAAACAGGAAGTGCCTCCCTGCACCCCCACACACCCAACTTTAGTTGGTGTACCAGGTATGTGTCTTCCTAGAAAATAATTTCTGGCCATGGATATGCTTGCCTTGATAAATGCTGGGACTGGTTGGCTGCAATAAATTGTACAAGCTGATGTCTCTTGAAAGCTGTTCAGAATCTTCAGATGGTTCCGAATGCTGAGTCCAGGCTGCTAACCAGGAGGATCACTATGGTGAACAGATCTCTCTGGTGAAAGATCTTCACTGGCTTCCAGTCTGTCCCCAGAAACAAGTCATAGGGCTGGTTGTGATCTATAAAGCCTGGAACTATCTGAAAGACCTGTGCTGGAGGTCCTTCTCTAGAAGGCACCACCTTCAGAAGTTAGAGAGTTACTTACTGGGGAGAGGGTGGAACCGCACAGTGGTGCTGTTGTGATTCCCTTATAGATGTTGGACAGAGAGAAATCCTATGCACATTGACTCAGAAATAAGGCTGAGTTCGACAGGATTGATTCTTTAGTAAGTATATTTAGAAA